GTACGCATTATTATGTTTTATAATCATGATTTGTCAAAAATCCGTGCCTGGCCCTAGAGGTATAGTAATGTCTAATAACAACGTGCTGTAAAAGGGTTTGATATATGATTAAGCTAAAATGTAATTGAAACACTGCCTAAAGATTTTATGCTTACGGTATGTAGTAAAAATCTTGGAAATGTCTCTAATGTCTAAATTCAAATGCACTTAAATTTAATTACAAAACACTTCAATGATAACATAATTGTAAACAAGGAAAAGTGATCGTTGTCTTAATGACGAAACTTATAGGAACTTTCCACCGACGCTCCGGAGCGCGTGAAGAATAGACTTATCGCTGTTAATCGCCCCACCAGATAATTTCACAAGAACAAATTTTAAACTTTCAAGTTTAAATAACATTAAATCTTTCTTAAGTTTAATTTTTTCTTTTCAATACTCGAAAATCCTTCGTGCAATTAAATCTTTGTAAAGTTTTATCATTTTTTTTTGTTAGTCAGTTAACTGATGATTAAACTAACTCACTATCATTAAGTATTATAAAAAAGTAAAAATGTAGAAGTTATACAGCTTAACTAGCTAATTATGTACCATAGAAAAACTATCTAATTACCATTCTTACCTCCTATTTTTTGGCAAGACCATCGCTATATACATACGTTTATGTACCATAATAATAATTTTGTTATTTAACAGTACATTGAGTAGTTTCATAGTTTTCGATAGTATACATATATTTAAACTTGTTTATTATAAATTTCTGGAGCGGGTTAATCGAACGCTAAAGGCGAAATAGCGAAAATTATTAGTTGTATTGAATAACAAGACATCAGATAGAACTAAAGTTGTACAAGTACTCCCGCGCTAACACATTCCCAAACTTGCCAGTAGTAACTTCATTTCTCTGGATCAGTTTGTGGTCGCTGTAAGAAAGTTTCGACAAACTTCTCTACAACCGAAGTTTGTCAAACTAAATTAAGAAATTGTTTTGTAGTTTTTATAAAATATACATTTTTATATAGATTAGGTGTCGACAAATACTTACATTTTTTTTTTATTTTTAGAATCAAAGTTTTTTTTATCAAATATTTAATTTAATTAAAAACTGAGTTATAAAGCGCAACAAATATTGGATTCTATTATAATTCGAATAATCAAATTCTTTGAACAATTAGTCACTTTCTTCGTTTACCAGTAATTTATTCGAAGCTATTTTAATTAGTAAATAATGCAAAACATAATTTAAAATTTGTCTTCAAATTAAAATGTTATTTAATTAATTATAATTACATTTAAAATTACAATATAATTTAAATTTAAAATATAAATTGAATGAGTTCTGCCGATAGAGTTGCAAGACACGCAATCGATGATTCGTAGCTTACAAAGATGCCAATCACGCGGCACTAACTCACAAGTCTTCAGGATATAAGTCACGTTCTCGCCCTTCAAACTTAAACAACGTCTTCCACCGACTCTTATCTTCAACTTCGAATTTCAAATTCACCTCAAGTTTACAGCCAGTCTCGTATTGATATTACGCAAACGATGATTTCCACAGACGTAAAACCTGCACAAAAATGTGTTGTCACCACGATCATGCTTAGAAAAAAAAACAAATAAAAATCAGAGTTACCAATGATATTTTTTTTATCAAATTAAATATAGACAATATAGAATGACATTATAAAAGTAGTTAGTCGTTAGTTACTATGAAGAAGATGTTATATTTTCAATCACTAATTCAAATTATCTTATTATCTTTATACACAAGCGAACATACCATTAAAATAGCTTCTCCGGGTTTGCTGATCATAAAATTCCGTGAGCATAGCGAAAATTTGCTAAAATCTTGCTTTTAGATCATCAAATGAATTTTAAAATAATCAAAAAGCTTTAAGAGCGAATAAGTGCACTTTGGTGAAGTAAGGATTTTTTGATTTGTCCAAGTAATGAAAGACTAAAAAATGTAAGGCTAATTTTGTGCAAAATGCTACTAAACCTTCTTTCTCGACGTTCTTTTGTTTTCTTTACACCTCCGACATAAAGTAAGTATGGCATCTACAACACTTGACAATGGTCATATAATATCTAGTTGCATGTTCATATGCACGTAATGAATTACGATAACGTTATTTAAAGTATAACTTGTAATAGTGTAGTAAAGTTAAGATGACTTGAGATCTCGAATGGGTTGAGATGTCAGGCACAGGATTGACTATTCAGGACTCACAAAGGAGCCAATCATGCCGCGGCCGCCGGCCCCCGGCACGTCTTCATACTTCCGACTTGATCATTTCGAATATTTCGATAAAAACATGATTCGATCTAATTTATATGACCTATTTATTCCCATTTATCTATTTTATAGACAACTAGCTGTCTCCGTCAGTGCGGATTTAAAAAAAAAACATAATTAGTAGCCTATGTGTTTTTCCAATATGTACTACATCATGCCAAATTTCATCAAAATATGTTGAGACGTTCCGCAGATACCTTTAAACAAACACCCATCTATCCATCTAAACATTCGCATTTATAGTATTAGTAAGAAGTATGCAAAATTATAATACAATAAAAGGGTCTATATAGCCATTGCGGGTATGTCACATTGGTACAACGCTATGATTTGTAACAGTTTTTTTTTTTTATAACAGAAGGGGGCAAACGAGCAGCCGGAACACCGAGGTGTTCAACGACGCCCACGGACATCAGCAATACCAGAGGAACCGCAGGTACGTTGCCGGCCTTTGAGGTTGTAATAAGCTCGCTTCTTGAAGTTGGTCAGTTTAGATTTCATCTTTTTCTCTCGTACCACCATATACAGGGTGCAGGTGCGTGTTATATTTACTGATTCATTTAATAAATAACTAACCATTATAATTCATATTGTAACTTTAAAAAAATTAAATTTACACAGATAGCAGAAATGCAATTCCTAGTATGAAAAAATAAATCTGCATAAGAACACTGGTCTCGCATTGCCAACAAAACAAGTTAAAGTTCTTAGTTCTTAGGTTTCTTCTATATATCTTTTAAGCCTAAATTAATGCCTCCTTGAAACGGAATTAACAGTGTGCTAGAAATGAAACAATATCAGACGTCTGCCAGACAGCAGTTAAAATGATGGTTACAAATAAGACAATAGACAATTCTTGTTTTGTTCCATATTTAAGTAATAATTAAAATGATCCTTTCTCAGAGATTATAAATGAATTAAACATATAGGCTTTTATAGAATACTTTTTTATGACGATGATAATCATTTTATCACACATATATTACTATTTTATCTTAAAGTATATTGGTGCTTCATGCTTTTTTTTTATCTAAGGAAAGGGGGCAAATGAACGGCGGCACCACATGACCAAATTGACCAAACTTTTAAATTTAACATTACTGAGAAAAGCTTACTTGATAAACCGCTTGAAATCAAATACTGAGGAGAACTAAAATAGTTCCAATGAGCAAAATGATTAATTCTAGGTATAACGTGGATTATGTGTGTGGTCAATTAGCGTTTACTTACGCAGGATGGCTATTCAATATGGTTGATGTACAAATTGCCTTTAATTAAGTATAGAGTCGTGAAATATAGCGGGATATATACTATGTAATAGCAATTTGTGACCCAGTGGTTTTTTTTCAGGCCCACGATAAAGGATATATGTAGGTAGGTAACCCATAGACAAACATACTCTTCAGATTTTATAATACGTCATATAGAAATATTTTAGTATAGATGCAAATGTATTCCTGGTGTTAGATATAATAAATACAAATAGAAACTATCAAATGTTTTCAAAAGAGTCCATTCTAAAATGTTCGAACTGTAGTAACGTAACAAAGTGCTACTCGCTGCTAACAAAGAAGGCTAATCACGCAGCGCTAACTGTCAAGCCTTCGAGAAAAGCACGTTTTTGCACTTTACTCTTTTTTGTACCCTTTTTGGACGAAACAGACAAAACATCAATTACAGAATCTGTAGGCGAATCAAATATAAAATAAAACAAATATTTTGCATAATAAGTGACCACACCATTTTTTATGTAAATTATCCATACGTTTTTTTTCGCATCTCGGGATATCAATCTCTGCCGAACCGTCGATTAATAAAATTCGAGTACGGACAGTTAATCCGTTTCGTTCTTAAACAACGGAAGCGTGACGTCACGGTTTTAATTTTCTAATGTCACGAGCGATAGCGGTAAGACTTTTCTTTTCTTTCAGAATCATGGACGGAAACAATCCAAAAGTTACACCATTAAGATAAAGTTCGCTCTAGTAAACTTTGAGCGGTAATTAATTTTCATTATTCTTCAAAACTAAAAATGTGGTATTATTAAATTTTAGAAATTAGTTAAAAATATCATAAGCTATTCGCTTATGTTTTATATTTATGCCAAGTCAAAGCCGTTACTGACGAATTTTTACAAAACTTTTTGCTATACTTTGGCGTGAACTTTATTGCACAACTATAAAGTATATCAGTATAAATGTTAAAACAAAATTTATATGAATGTTACAAGAACCAAACCAGGACTTTCATCACACTGTTCATACCTCACTTACAGCTACAGGCACATTTAATGTGGTCACTTACGGAAAGTTAGTACAAATCAATCTTTTACATTACGTTTTCTTTTAAGGTGCTTTCTAATTGGAGTATTTGAGTGTTTTACTTTTTTTATAGTAAGAACATTATGATGCAATATGGTCAAATGAAACAAATATATTATTCACATTGAAAATTACTGAAAAGGTTTCAAAGTGATACAAGTACATCCTTATTTTTATTAGTAATTTTTGATAGAACGGAAACGTCTCAGTTAGAACGGAAAAAATGATAATTTAAAAACTGTTTTTAAATACGTTTTTACTTTATTTTAAGTGCTTTTTACATTTACATAATTATACTAGACAATAGAGATGAAGTTATTTCGGTTTATCGCATAGACACAAAACATTTTTTCCAAACCGGAATTTATGGCAAATTATGACAACACTGTAGGACGCGCCGCTTGTAGCTGTCACATTTGCTTTCATCATAAATCTCATTTGGGGAAAAACAAAAATTTTACTGGGTTATAGTAAGTTAAAAATTATTCATTACTTATTCTTAATTTATAGGGCAACTGCAAAAATACTGAAATACATTTTCCATTTACAGATGCACTTCAAAAAAGTATAGAAATGGACCAGCAATTTTCATTGTCTTGGAACAATTTTCACGGAAACTTGAGCAAAGGTTTCGCCGGTTTGCTCGGGAAAGGCGAATTTGTCGATGTTACGCTAGCTGTAGAAGGGCATTTACTTCAAGCGCACAAAGTTATTCTATCAATATGTTCCCCGTACTTCAAGAAAATGTTTCAAATGAATCCCTGTCAACATCCTATAGGTATTTACCCATTTTTGTTATTAAAGTATCAGAAGAAAGAATTGTGATAGCTAACAAATACAGACATTAAACTTCTTACTCTATTATATTTTCAGTGGTATTGAGAGATGTGACTCTCAAAGCTATGAAAGATCTCTTACAATTTATGTATCATGGAGAAGTCAGTGTTAAAAGAGAAGATCTCACTAGTTTTATAGGAACAGCTGAAGTTTTACAAATCAAAGGATTAACTAATAAAGAGGTAAGGATATAAATTTCATTCAGCATAAACCAAATTCATTTCCTGACATTAAACCTAACCTTTTAAAGCACAAAAATTGAGTCCTTCAAAGAATTTATCTAAACCGCTTTTAGATTCAACACTTCATTTGTCACTATTTATATGTTTGTTTTATAATTTTGGTGTAAGTGATTATTAATTTTTATAATTTATTTTAGACTGATGATGAGGAAGAAATTAAAGATCTATCTAAACAAAATTTAGTGCACCAGAACAGTAGCCCTGATCCTGAGTCATGTACATCTGAGAACTATGATAACAGTCCTAATGAATTACCAGAGAGTAATGAACATGAGATAGTGAAACAAAGACAATTTATAGAAAAACTTCAAAGGTTGAGTCACTTAAAGAGAAAATCAGAAGAATTTCTGCAAAGCGCATACTATTCTGATATCTTAAACACGGAAAAACGAGCTAAAATCAATGACAAAATGGCCTACAATAAAGTTAATAATTTACTACACAACAGCAATTATGATAATTTTAAAAATGTTTATGACGAAACCCCTATCGATATAACTTCTACATTGAATACATTGGTGCACAAAGACAATATAGATAAAGGCGAAGACAAAGAACAATCTCCAAATCAAATAGAATTAAAAACGGAATGTGATGAAATAGATATAGTTGTGACAGATCCTGCAGTTTGTACAACTCCAAAAAGTTACGAAGGATCTAGAGATGGCAAAAATAATACTACAGTTGCATTGGACTATCAGTCACCTCAGGACAGTAAGTATTTTTGATTTTTAAAAATTTATGGAATTCTTGTATTTTGTGAATAACACTGCCCTGCTAAGGAATGTATTTTGTTGCTGTATATTTACATATTGTAACATTATTTAGCAGCTGATGTTGTTTTGTGCAATTAACACTTTCAGTGCCACTGACTTGGCATTACATTGGCACAGAATGTGTTACAAAAGAGACAACAACAAAAGATATACAAAATGCAATCTTATTTCTTCATTCTAAGCAATTTTTAATTTCTTTTTTCATTTTGCTTGTTAATGCTTTCTTTACTTTGTCTTTTGTAAATAACGGGATTATAGATTGTGTTGAAAATGCAATCCTATGTTAATTTTTATTGACTTTGTTGCATATTTTCTTTATAAAAAATACTTCATTTTGCACACTTGTAAACACGATGGCATTTTCAACATTTTAAAATCCTTTTTTGTAATATGACACTTAGATAATTATTTTCAAATGTAATGAAAATGCCTATCGTGATTTCAGATACCACAAGTTTGAACTCATTATTTTTGGACTTTAAAAGCTTTGTCAATGGTAAGGTGACTAACGCAATGTTAAGAATTAATGCTAACGAAGAATTCCCAAGACCGATGCTTGAACATCGTTTGACAACAATACCACAGAAAGAAGATGGCAAGAAGAAATATCCGCAACGCTCCTGCAGACTGTGCTGGAAGTTAGGAAAAAGACGGGATACTCGATTTATGTGTAGTGCATGTGAACTACCATTTTGCAAGTCACCATGCTTTGAAGTACACTTCAACGGTGTTTTTAAAGTATCTCAATTACAAGGAGACTATTTTGCTACATAAAAATTACACATCACAAACCCAAAAAGGGTATTTTTTATAGATATAAGATTACAATAAGAAGTGATATTTGGTTAGAGCAACAGAAAAAAATGTGAATCAAAGATTCAAAGGATATTGGGACCAAAATTTAAATTCCTATAAAATATCCTATAAATATGTAAAAAAAAAACGAAATTATTTATCAATTTATAAATACAGCTATATTATATTTCTATAAAATACTTAGTATTCATATAAGAAAGATGCATTTGAAGCAATATTTTAAAATTATGCAAATAATATTTTGATACTGTGATAGTGTACATTTGGATTAAATACCAATTACACTGTAGTAACTGCTTTTAATGAACCAATATATTTTCTCAAATCTTGTGACAACACAAAATATTGTGCCATCAATCCTCTGCCATATATTTAAAGACTTTTTATTGCTCATATTCTAGTCTATTTATTGTATTAAAATAAGTGTAAAACATATTACTCAAAAAAATTAAAGCTTAAATATTTGATGTTCACTTTGTATGAGGTTTTTTGTGTATAATCACAATATTATAGACACTATTTAATATATTATGATACACAACAAAGTTATAAAAAAATAGTCAAATAATTTTTTACAAGTTTATTGTCACATTTGTTGAGGTAGTGCGTAATCATGACATGCCTATTGTCTCCATACTTAAAGCTAAATTCCTACGAAAAAAAAAAATCTCATACTAAATTGAACAGATAAATAAGATAATTATAATGATCTCTATGGCTTCAAGGTTAACAAAGCCAAATCATTTTTTTTACATTCCTGCATTTTGCTTTTTGACATTTTGGCTTGGCTGATTTTTTATATTTTTTTTTACATGTATGCGTAGTGTAAGATGAAAATCATAATAAAACTATTTTTGTATTCTTTGTGTGATGTTACTACATGATAGTGACTTAATATAGTGTTTTATATCTATAATTAAACGATTTTTTGCATAGTTATTCATTTCATTATCCCAAAAAAGGAACATATATCCTTAAATACTATTAATAGATAAAAAAAAATAACGGAATATTTTTATAGTATTTTTTAATTTTAATTCTTAGATTACTTATGTTTCATTTATTCTACAACTCGCGCAGAATAACATCACATCCAAGTTTGACAATTTAACACAAAACCTCACTATGGAAACATAAACCCGGATAAAAGTGTTAAAACTACCTTACATTGTACTTAGATCTCATGTTATTGTGTATACACAGTACATTATGTACAAAATGTTATTTTAGACTTTAAAGCAGTTAAAATAAAGTTTGTTTTACTTTACAGGTGCATTATCACTAGTAATGAATGGCTCTAGCGATAATCAGTTGCCGGTTCACTACAAATACATTTACAGCAGAAAGGGGCATAAACAATTAGTGCATATGAACTTTGTGTACACCAAACATTCAACAACGCACGGAAAAACATCGTGGCGATGTGTGCAGTATTTCTCGTTGAACCGTTGCCCGGCAACAGTCGAAACCATAGACTCGATGATATATGCGGTCAACCATCAACACAACCATGAAGATTGTTTTGAGAAACTATCAAGAAATAATATTTATGAAATGAATGTTACTCCAAAGTGAAACTTGTGTTTGTGATTTTACAGTTGTGATTAGCAACAATTTGTGTATTGTTTCTTCATTATTAAGAGTATAAATTCCAATTCCTAATGTCGATGGCTCAGGGGTCAGGCACTTGACTTGCAATCTGCAAGTCCTGTATTCGGATCCCACCATGTACCAATGTGTATTTCTATTTCCGATTTACGTATGTACAATTATCCGACGTTCTTGCGGTGAAGGAAAACATCATGATGCAACCTGCACATATCTAAGTAATTCAAAAATATGTGTAAAGTCAACCAACCTGCACTTGGCCAGCGTGGTTGACTATGGCCTAATCACCCTTAACTTAGGGTAGGCCCTTCGGTGGGGACATATAGTGAGCTGATAATGAAATTCCAATACCAAATGAGCACTAAGTAAAGCCTGCTACACCTTCAATTTAATGTAACAATCCAGTACAGTTAAAACTGAAGTTATGTAGAGAGCTTGACTGGGAATCTCATGGTTGTATCTACACAATAAACTTCATAAGTAAAATAACATATTTTTCAAAGGGGTGTGGATAGTAGTAGTACCAGAGTTATTTTCAGATTTATACATACATAGTAAAAAAAATGTTAGATTCTTTGCTGGAATTAATGTAAACAAGTATATTCACTATCTTATTCCATTGGCATGGTCTTAATTCTATAATATTGTTATTAATCTCAACTGTAATACTAGGTGTAAAAATAGATTTGTAAATTGTAAAGTTCCTATGTACTATTATTTATAATTATGCAATAAGTGACGCTAGAATGGGATTATAAGAAGTATGTTATCAATAATATATTAAAATGAACTTAATTACATAAAAGAAACATTAATATATTATATTTGCTGTAGTATTTCGTTATAAATACGATTCATGCTACAATTACAAAGTTTTTGTGGTCTTCAACTGCTTATTTATTTTTTATGTGAAATGAATTAAAAATATTACACCATTACTTGTATAAGTATGGTTTTTATAAATAAATATATATTTATTTTATTATCTATAAAGTTCACTATGCGTTTTAAATAAAAAGGTACGCGTCAATTACCTCAATCTGTCCGAAATCATTAAAGTAATGAAATATTGAACAGAAAGTTCCAACAAAAATCTTTTTTATGTTATGAAAACACAAAATTAAATTTCTTGGTACCTTCTGTATCTAGTCATGAATTGTATTACTTTATTTTTCTTAAGAATAAAATGTATTAAATGAACAGGACCCAATATAATATATAATCTCACTTTATTTACCTTAAGATAATAACTATGTCTCAGTGAATAAATAAAACTTATGTTTTTAATTGTTTTGTTGATTCTGCCGATACATTAGTAGCAAGCAACGCGGCCGCCCGCTTTCTAGGTCTGTGTTTCTTACTAAATCCAACACCTGAAAAGCAAACATTTAATTATATGCTTTACTATGAGTAAATATAAAATGTCGTATTGTTTTGCATACTTACGTATATCTACATCTGGTTTTTCTTTTAAACCAAATGATTTAGCGACAGCGTCCATGTCCATTGTTAACAAATTAAAAATATGCTTCAATTTCTTAACTTCAAACGACCTTATGTAACCTTCAAAAGCTTCTTCTGCCATTTTAATAAATTCTGGGTTTTGTAGTGCAATATCAAGCTAGAAATAATTATGGAAATTTATGTTTATGTAAAAAACTAATTCTAATCTTCTCTTCTAGTTTCTTTGTCTTATCTTATTACCTTCTTTTGAAGACTACTCAATTTATCCCAGAATTCGTATGTATCTAAAAAGATTTTGGCTTCTTTTAGATATTCTACGAATTCTTTCTCTTCTGGCCTTAGCAACAAAACTGCATGACCGGCCGCCCCCAATCCCCGGGCTGTCCTGCCCACTCTGTGAATGTATTCCTATAAAATAACAACAATATTTAAGCAATATTTTTTATTTAGGACTTCAACTAGTCAAAAATAATATATTTGGAACTCAGTTCAACATTTCATTACACCAAAATCTATGATCATAAGAAATAGATTAACCTATTAACTACCACCAACTTGTACCCTCCCTTTAAGTTATTGAGTAACATTAAATGTGTTAAATGCAACTTACATTAGCATCAGCTGGTGGATCAAATTGTACAATCCAATCTACTGCAGGTATATCTAAGCCCCGCGCAGCTAAGTCAGTGCAGAACAATGCTACTTTTTCTGCTTTATAAAAATTGTTCATAGTAGCTGTTCTATCTGTTTGATTCATTTTACCCTAAAACAAATATTAAACCATAATTATACTTTGCCTATTCTAAAAAATACTATATTAACAATGTTTTTATTAATTTCGATTTTTAAGCACACTTTTTTTGTGACTGATTATAAGCTATTTAAATAATTCAAACTTACATGAATACATAGAACTGATAAATTGCAATATTTGTTTAAGAATTCATGATGAAACACAACTGACTTACAGCTAGAAAAGAATACCATGACTTTCAGATTTTGTGTCTTCTTTAATAATTTATACAACCAACAGAGCCGGTATTCTGTTTCACAGATAACATACCTGGAAATAACTAATTTTTTTAATACACTTGTATCATAATGTGACTAAATATTAAAGTAACCTAAGAAAAACTAAATATTAAATACATGAAATCTTTGAAATTATGTTTGTAAATAGCACAAACTATAAGCTATGCAGAAGTTTTGACTATAAAATCAATATACAAAGTATTGCAGTCCTTAATATTACATGAGTATTTGTTCTATTATTCCTTACCCTTGTTTTAATCCTTCAACAGTTGCCCTGTCATTGTCTTCATTTGTGTTGATTGAGTGTAAATCATCTCTCATTGCAGACTTTATCAGTTCCTCAGTTGTTTCCGCATGTGTTGCACTGAATAACATTGTTTGTCTTTGCTCTACACATAAAATACAAAATGTGTTGTAAAAAAAATGATAAACCACAAACTATTTTTATCTATTCAATGGTTCTTATTGTTCATTTTAATTTTAATGCACTTATCTCTTTATTATCCAAGAATGAAAATAATTAAATTAAATTCTAGGAAAATTTTCTAAAATTTCACTTACTAGGAAGCCTCTTAATAATTTGTTTCAAGTCCTCTTCAAATCCATATTGATATATTTTATCTGCTTCATCCAATACCAAACATCGAACATTATTATAATCAAACTCTTTGGTTCTCATATGATCAAACAACCTTCCTGGGGTTGCAACAACTATATGAACACCTAAAATGTTATATTAATAAATTATTTTTATATTAATCTAGGATACTTTAATAATTGGATATTTTACTCTTTAATAAATAACTTTTACCGGAAGCAAGTCTATTGCTTTGCATTTTCCTACTTTCACCACCAATAACTAATGCTGAAGTGATCCCCTCATGGTGTGATATAATATCCTGGAGTACTTGATATGTTTGAGTTGCTAGTTCTCTAGTTGGAGATATTATTATACAAAATGTGCCTAGAAATAAATAAAAGTATAGTTATTACATATCTGCAGTAATATGGACTACGCAACTATAAGAAATATGCATAACACCTTGATAATTATTTTGCGATTGCTTGCCAACAACTTCTACAGCAGGAATTAGAAATGCTAAAGTTTTTCCAGAACCCGTCTTAGCTGTAGCTACCACGTCTCCTCCGTCTAACGCTTTTGGTAAAACTTCAGCCTGAATATCAGTCATATATTTAAATCCCATATTTTTTATAGCATTTATTGTTGCTTCAGAAACTGTACATTTTAACGTTTTAAACTTTGTTCTTTTAGTGTCATCCATTTATAATTGATTCAACATTTTTTTCCTGAATAATATAGAAACTAAAAGCAACTTAATCACTTTAGCTCTTTTTACTCTTAAAAAACTCTACAACTTTTCTATATAACAAACATAACCTCAACATCAAAGTTTTTAGTATTTTGATTTTGAAACAGCTTACCAAAGAGTATATAAAATAAGAGACGGGACTCTTGACTAATT